AGTGAAACTTGTGTATAAAGTGAAACAGTAAGATTGTATCTTTAAATTATTGCATACTTAAAAATGTTTTCATGACAAGTACATCCTTTTCAGGACAGATATTTGTAAAAAGTATGCTATGCAAACAAGGTAAAATATTATTGATTAAGTAATCATTCTGTGAACTATAGTAACATTGTCCATACTAGTATCACATGTCTATAGAACCTTGGTAACACTGTCTGCTTATAGAAACACCATATGCCTTTGTAAGGCATACACAATTAAATACATAAGCAAAAACTATAAAGTTGATAAGATTAAAATAACAGATTTGATGTTTTACTTATAAAGCAAAACTGTAATTGTGGTAAAAACGTTTCAGTACTGACAACTGTAAGCAGAACATTATGTAAATTAGATAAAATGTTATATTTAAGACTTTGATTGTTACTATAAAGTTGAGACACATTAATCTACATCATCCTTTGCTGGTTCACTTGCAAACTATCAGCACATTTATTACAGCCAAATCCCCTCTGATGCCACTTTGTGGAACTATGATATCATCTGTAGCAATGCTCCATCTGGTAAGTCACACTCGTACTATGATGTCACCCTCAGTAACATGCCCACTACTGACATCTCCTAGCAACACTCTCTCTGGCAGCAGAGAACTTCCATTGTCAAGTGTTATGGAAGTGCCCCGATAACTACTACTGCCAACTCTTGGACTACCCTTTACCAGCAACTACTGGGATTGATCTTCACGACTAAAAGGGCAGACTAGTTTGGTGATAGGATTCGATCTCCCGACCTTCAGATTGCAAGTCAAGTACTCCAACCACTAGGGTATGTTAATAACTGAACTCTTACTTTTAACATCAACAATTGTATTGAATAATCTTTATGTAAATAAACACAGGTGTAAAGAAAAGGGATAGACTTGAGGGAAGGCAGTTAATGACTAACTGACTTGCCTCTAGTCTATTGGTTCCACGTTTAGACAAGCTAGCACATCACCCACTGCTAAGTTCTAACTCTGGGGCTACTCTAAGTGAATAACTCTTTCCCCATCATGATTCTGCGAGGACAAGACATGAACAATGGACCTCTGAATTCACAGTTAAGTATGCTGACCACTAGGCCCAGTTATATTATTTAAATAACTTCATTGTTGATTAAATCTATTTTATTGTATCACTATTCAACAGGCTGGAATGGCACAAGTCGAGGTAGATAACCATATTTATAAACTGAAAGAAGACCACTCCATGTTGATTCCAATAGGAAAAACGTAAGTCTTTACTTGTTCCTGGCTGAAATAAAAAACATTTGAGTGTTACAAAAAAAAACAGTGTTGGGTTTCATCAGCCACAGTAAAAAAACTTAAGAACAGAATATGTATTTATATATATATATATATATATATAA